CTTCCGATGTTAGTACTCATTTTCACAACCGATGAAAGTGCTCTACAATCATCACACAAATGAGATTATAAAGAGAAAATATTGTATCTCTAATGTTCACAATTCATAGTTTAACCTTTTAAATTCGTAGTCAAAGCAGTTCATTTCATAGTCAAATTTCACTGACCGACTTGACAATACTACAGAAGGTACTTGTCTGGATTTCGTAGTTCAACTTTTTGAATTCATAGTCAAACCAGTTCATTTCATAGTCAAATTTCACTGACCGACTTGACAATACTACAGAAGGTACTTGTCTGGATTTCGTAGTTCAACTTTTTGAATTCATAGTCAAACCAGTTCATTTCATAGTCAAATTTCACTGACCGACAAGACAAAACTACAGAAGGTACTTGTCTGGATTTCGTATTCAACTTTTTGAATTCATAGTCAAACAGTTCATTTCATAGTCAAAAAGATTTGTCTGTATAATGATTTCTTCTATAAAAGGGTGTCACTCAGTATGAAAACTATATCAGTGAAAGCAACTCCTATTTATAAGAAAAACAAGGCTAATGGCATACTGCAATTGCGGAGGAGAACGTATCGTTAGGATTTCGGGAACATCTAAAAACCCAGGAAGATTGTTTTACGCTTGCCCATATTTGGTATCATGTTGTTAACGTCATTCAAATTTAAACCTTCGTGTTTACATCACAAAAATTTATTTTCTTACTGTAAATATTTAATTTAACAGGGACCAAAATGCGGGTTTATCAGTTGGGTTGATGAAGAGAAGGACCAATCTTCTATGGTAATAGCCAAAGTAGCTAACTCTAATAAGCTCTTTCAATCAGAAAATAAGAAGTTAAAGATAGTTGGTTTGTAGTTGGGTGTTGTTCTTGGCAGTTCTTGTTTACAAGTTGTAAGCTTTTCAATATTGTTTTTATGGTTTTGAAGTTGTTAGGTCAATAAATTGTTGTATTTGTAACGTTAAAAAAAATGTTGTAGTCGTTCTTATGTTCTATGTAATGTTAAGTAATTAGTAGGTCATTAATTTGTTGTAATTGTCGTAACGTATATTTTTGCCGTCCGTTGAGTAAACTGTAAAAATAAAGTAATAATGAAATCCAACATTAATTTTTAAATACATTTATTTAATCCAACTACATAGGACCAAGACAAGACCCCCATATAATTTTTGCCATCCGGAGACGGTACTCTAAAGCTGCGTTCTTTGGGTCAATAAGAACACGTATTGGTTGACCTGAAACCAATTGCTCCATAAACATACAAAGAAAAACACCGCAATCTCCCAAATGACTACTTTGTTGGGGAACGTTTTCTTCATAAATGAATTGCATATTCAATGGAATCCTTGGGATGTTCCTCCGGGCCCAATACTTAATCTTGTCCAAATAATTTGCCACCCGACGTTCAAATTTGGAAAAAATTCCTTCAGATTGGAATTTTTCATAAGCACCTCTACCAAGACTGTCATAAATATGCACTTCCATTGACGCTAATCGTAGTTCCCCAAATAGCCAATGATTAGGGGATGAATGAATCGGCAATAAGACCTGTATGAGAATCAGAAAATAAAATTATGTTTATTTACAGCACAATACAAAGACATCACAATACAAAAACATAACAAAAAAACGATATTATTTTAAGTATAAACTATTAAGTTTACCGTATCAACATCCTCACCAAGCAACCATGAAGTTGGGGTACGTAGCAATACCAGCCATAAACGCCCTCCAGTCCTGTCCTTCTTCCAAAGCATGAGAAACAAAAAAATTTGGAGGCATTATTGTATGTCGGTCGCTCTCAAACCGTCTCTCCATCAAAAAGTCGGTACCAAATGGTTATATGCTGCACACATGATACTGTGTTATTGACTAAAAAACAAATAACTTTTAAAAGAATAAATTAACAATTAATTTACCGCTGACTCCAACCAGCCGTCGTGTGTATGCCCAAACAATGAGCTCCAAAAATCTCTATCTAACACGAAATTAAACAAACGATGCTGGACATCATATGAATGCAATACATAATTTTGAATGACATCCTCACCGCCTGCTACGTAAGGTTGCAAG